CGAAAAATCAAACTCCCTGTCCGCCTTCGAAAATAATTAAACATATTTGACAAAAGAATATTGAATTATCAACAATGGTGTAATAATGACAATTCGATATTCTTTGTCATTGATGATCAAAATAATTTAATTATTAATATTGCATTGTTTACCAACCGTAAATCCGCGTATTCATGTCTTTCTTACTAAAATAAGTGGGTACGCGATATGCGACATGTGTAACGATGCAGGATATTAGAAAAATGATGTAATAATTGAATAATGGCTGTAGATAAGATATACGCGTCCAAAGCATATAAAAAGAAATAGGAAGTAGCATTCAGCTAATAAGAATTAATACCATGAATAAACTCGGTCTAACTTTGACTTCAATAAACTTTCAGCTTAAACTCTAATGACGTCAAGATAATAAAGAAACAGATTTTTAAAACCAAGATCGGTGATTAATTTTGTTACGTATGTAGAGCAATTGTAATGTCAAGGAACACGATTAAAGGAATACTAATTTGGCAATCTGACCATTGTCTTCTCGCGAAAAGTAATCCAGGGTAGCAACAAATTCACCAGTAGTAACAACAAAACAATAACAAAGAAAAGAAGAAAATCTGTTATATGCTAGTTTTTCAGTGACAAGAGTAATATTAAATTAGAACTTAACTTCAAGCACAAGGAATTTCTTACTTTTCTAGAACCGCTCAAAAAAAGTTGTGATTATTTAATAGAATTAATTATACCAAATTAGAAATAAGGTATAATTTTTAATTTTCGAATAAAAGAATTATTTAAGATTTCCAAAATTAGAATATACTCAATTTCGGTTTACTGAAATACTTTGATTAAATAAATGGAGTTACTGTATATATTAAATATTGTATATATTATATAGTTGTATAAAATGGTTTCTGAAACTTGAAAATATGTAAAAATTATAAAATTCATGGACAATATACAAAAAAGTATTTTATTTATGTTACAAGTGATATTTTTTTTGAATTAAAAAAACAAACAAATTAACAAATTCCAATAAAGATAGGAGATTGCAAAAGATGATTTGCATTTTAAAAAATTATTAAAATAATTTCAAAAATCAGAGTGGAATTATTTATTATCTTACAAATAAATCAAACAAAAACGTACATGTATACTTTTGTAACATGTTATAATTCTAGAAAAATTTTATTAAATGTGAAAAAAATAATAAGTTATATAATTTCACATATATTATAACAGATATTAGAATAAATAATCAAGTATAAAATTCGAATACAGTATATCAGATGTTATTATACAAGATCAGATCAAAACCACATGAGTTATAATAATTCCTGTACATTAAGACTTGAGAACAATATTAAACAATTAAGAAAAACTCAGGTGGATGCAAGAACTTTCAACGTAGAAACTGTGAATCAAGGATGAACAGGAATTATAGTTGGACAAAAATTGTTCTGCTCAAACTGCTGATTTGGGAAAACCTGACGCTGTGGCCTACCATTCTCGATTCTGACAATCAATTCATTGTATAAAGATACAATTTTTAACATCTGCTATCAAGTGCGTTTTTCTTTAAAGATTGCGAAAAAAATTTTTTTTTTCGAAATATATACATTATATATGTATGTACTTACTGTATTTATTTTAAGTATATAATTGATAATAAATCAAATAGGGGTGATCATCAATAAATGTTGATCTTTTGAAATGTCAAACCAAGTGTCAATTTTTAGCTACCAAATCGGAGATGTCATTCATACTATCGTGCACAAATTTTATTATCAACTTATGCTTTTCCGGTCCTGGGATTTTCTGATTTCACGGATTCGATCCGTCAGCGCTTTGTTCACGTGAATGAAAAACGAATCGATTTAATAAAAAAAAAAAATTCTTGACAATCATGGATTCCGGAATGGCTGCTTTATTCGACCGAGAAAGACCGAGAAAACGGTGGATGGTAATAGAACAAATTATTCCGGGAAAGTGTTGCATGGAAGATTATGTATGTAAACGGATTGATAACACGCATTATACTATTTTGACTTATTTTTGATTGTAAAAGGTATTTTTGACAAAGATAATTTTAAAATGTTTCTGGGAGTAAAAGTCGTACATTATTAATCACATGGTCAATAGGTCACAAATAACTCCTAAATAAATGATGTTTTTAATCGAATTACGTATCATTATATGTATGTGTGTTTTTACGTGAAAGACGATCACAATAATTACCCAAACCTGGCACATGATACATAACAAAAAAAAAAAAGATAAACATATGATCAACTTATTATATTTAGCCGCATCGGTTTCTTCTGGATGTCTTTAATTTGCAAGGAAGCTAAAACCACAATTTTCTGCTAGAAAAGCAAAGAATCAGGTATTTTCCTTACTAATCATATCGATCATTAAAACATCGTTTTATTCGAGGACTTATACGTGTACGCAATTTTGGGGCATTTTCTGAAAACCTTGTAATTAAGAATGTTTTCTTATTTAACAAGCGAATTGTAAATGTATCTAATATAGAAAGCTTCTTAACAGAGTCGCCCCATCGTTTCCATTTAGAAAACACGGACATTCCCTTTGATAACATAATCGTCATAACGAACCGGGTTTCTTTCATATTAGGATATAATGTCGGATCGACTGAAATTAGCAAAATGGCCAAAATCAGTTATGTCGCAATCGGCATATTTACCTCCTTGGTACGGCGGACAAGCTCACGAATCAGCATTTTCGAGCAATCCGCCGTCTAATCCACATTACCATTTTTCGGGTAGCATGTGGAGTGATTCAAACAACATTGCCAATAAGGAAAAAACAAGCGGATGTACCATAAAGTATAATCTCAACAGTCAATTGAGTGCTCTGTCGGCATCACAAGACTATAATCATGTAGTTGTGGCGGGACGTGAAGGTTGGTGGTTATAAGATACATTCACTAGTGTTTACTCGTAATAACGATGACCTTGACCTATTTTAATCCGACGATTATTTTTTGATAGCGGTAAAGATCTTAAGTGCGTCTGATCAGAAAATTACCGAAGAGGACAATCTAAGGGTAAAAGCTAGTAGCAGATACAGTGTAAGTGACGTGAAATGGGGAAATAATGGTAACTTGAACTTTTTCTCTTCACCTTAAAATATATTCATACGTGTACATTTCGAAATCGAAATTAATTTATCTGTGAATTCAGCCACAAAGAGTAAAATAGCTACCGCGACCACCAATGGATCTATAGTTATATATGATCTGGGTAATGGTAGAGCGAGATTAGGTATGAGATAGTAGTTACGTGAGTGCGATTTTCTAGATCTTTCCTTTTACATTATTCCTTATCGTGTCTATTTCAGAACGAAAAATTCAAGATCATGTTCGAGCAGTTAATAGAATATGTTTTAACCCGCCTTCGGGTGTATTTCTTTTGAGTGCATCACACGATGGCACCATGAAACTATGGGTTGGTGTTTAAAAAAGTATTAATGTTACCCATCACTTCAATAATTGTGTTTGGGTCATCATTAATGAAATTTCAGGATCTTAGAGATTCGACGTCTGCAAAAATGACACTAGTAGGAAATTCTGAAGGTGTTCGCGACGTACAATTTAATGTTCAAAGTCAAAACGAAATTGCTGCTGCATTCGAAAATGGGACCATTCAGGTAATCTATATCCGTTATTATAGTAAAATGATGATATTGCTATTGTTATGTTATAATTATTATCATTTATTTATCATTCATTGCTCTTCACAGAAATGGGACATTAGAAGACCTACCATGTACGAACGTAAATTTAATGCGCATGTTGGATCCGTACTTGCAATCGATTGGAATTCAGACGGAAGAACACTAGCAAGTGGCGGTCGTGACAAGACAATTAAAGCAAGTTTATTATTATATTGCGGAGATTACATGCACACGCGTTAACTATGTTTAACTGCATTCCTTAATCCATTTTAGATATGGGACATGACCCAAGACGTTAAGAAGGAAAGAGACGTGATTTTCACAATGACTGGTATTACGCGCATACAATGGCGACCAAATCATCCCGATGAAATTGCCTCATGCGCAATGTTGAATGACAGTCGAATTTTCATATGGAATGTCAAAAGGCCGTACATATCGAGTTACTTCTTTGAAGAACATGATGATGTACCAACAGGTACGTCATAATTTTATCCACTGGTATCGAATCATTTTATATCTCTATAATTTCTCCGCTTCAACTTCGATTAGGACTTATGTGGCGTGATCAAGATGTACTTTGGTCAGTTTCCAAGGATAAATGTTTCGTTCAACAGAATATAAAAGATTCCGCCATTTACACCTTAGATTTACTAAGTAAGAGCGGAATTGGTTGGAGTGTGTATGATGATGTTTCATTTGTTATCGACGGTTTCAACGATGAGACTACTGAAGACCAGCAAGTATTTCGTGTAAAATGAATCCATAGTTCGTGTTGGTTGGTCTACCTATGCTAATCATTGATCGCATTTTTTCTACCCCTAAATAGATCCAAGTTCTCTTCCCAGAGTCTTCAATTTCGCAAAAATTCAAGAAAGTTTTATTACAATAGCGTCGAATTTCGAAATGAGGTTAGTATGCTTTGTTGTTGAGATATATTTATCACAAGTGAACTATCGATTCATTGCTAATGTTCACATTTATGTTATTTGATAGACTCACTCGCCATATCAACAAAGAACTGGTGAGGTTACCCTCCAGACGTTTGATTACAGTTCGTTCGAGTATCTTGCAAAAAACTATACAATTTCTGATTCTGACATATGGAACGCCTGTGAGCATAATTGCAAGGTAGAACGAATTCTAATGAACGATGTTTGTATCTCGTTTTACAGAATCATTAAATGATGGATTTTTTCTTTAATATGAAAGGTTGCGTGGGAAGTGAAACGACTTCGAACCGCGCAGACCTGGAAGATAATACAAATTTTATACGGAAAGAAAACAGACGATAATCCTAATGGTTCGGTGATACCTCTTTTGAATAATTGATGGTTCTCTTTTGTCGCCTTTTAACAGACCTTGGATTTACAATATTCTTCTAGTAAACATAAAAACAGAGCAGGATGCTCCACCAAGCAAGTCTCCGGACGAACTAAAAGGACCTGATCTATACGAAGAACCCGATAATGTAGCAGAAACGAATAACATACAAAATGTAAGGTTACGCCTTTCTGTAGATTTTTAGCAATTATCGTAATTAAATATCTTTTTTTCTTATACAGGATGATGAAACACCTGCTATCGAATCCGAACCCGAGGATGAGGATTTTTATGAAATAGAACCTCCCGACAATGAATATTCGAGTCTCTCTAAAAATGATAAAAACGAAGCATATAAAGTCAGATCACCTGTGAGGATACCTTGGAATAATGAACCAATGATGACTCAGCTATTAGAATACTACGCTGAGCAGGTAATGAATATATAATTAATCTTTCCACTGATAGCTTTTTGAATTTTTCAATTGACATTCTTCTTTTTAGGGTGACGTACAAATGTGTGTTACGCTGGTTATGGTATTAGGCGACAGGCTTAAGTTAAATCAAGATAAGGTAGAGCAATGGTTCTTTTCTTATATTGGTAAGAAATATTTCTTGCTATTATTGTCTACTCGTTATATTTTGGATTGATGATCAACTGTCAGTTTGATATAGAACTTTTGCATCGGTTCAAGCTTTGGCATGTTGCTACGGCCGTAATAAAATTCTGCAAGATTACATCTGTTTACATGCAAAATCAGGTAAAGAATTTTTTAAAAAAATTTCACAACATTCAACAGAATCTCATCCTTTTTAAAAAAAAAACAGCAATCAACGACTATTTATACGGCGTGCAGCCGATGCTTTAGAGGTCTTAGGAATGGGCTTTTGCTATGCTATAAATGTCAGAAACTACCAAATTCATGTTCTGTTTGGTTAGCTCATTTGAATTTATATTTTCCTCATTTCCGTTAACTCTTACTTTTGCCTATCTTAAACTCATGAGAAATTTGCCCTAATTTTTTCTCTAGTCATATCCCAGTCAAAGGTTTATATGTCTGGTGTCAAGGTTGTTCTCATGGAGGACATCTTGTTCACATACGGGAATGGTTTAAAAAATCCATCCAATGCCCTACAGGATGCCAACATCAATGCCTATCTTCGATCTTCTTGCTTTCCGGTGAGGATCTGGATCCCTAAAGAGGAGATCATATTATTCGATCAGAGCCATCCACTACCGAATCATTCTATCGGATGAGTGAGTGATGTTGCAAAAAAAAAAAAAAACAAACAATTTTTTTGTATTGAATTGCATGTTATATTCTCCCTTATCACCTTTATGTTCGTCGTTTTTGTTAGATAAACATTCTGTATATTTCTAAATTTTCTTTCGTGTAATTTTAAATGCATCGCATTATTTTATTTATTAAATAAACGTTTTTTTAACATTCAACTTATCTAAATTTATTTCCTTATTATTTGATCGATGTATTATGATGCATTCATGCAATAGTGTATCAATTGATGAATGAAATTTCAAGAAAAATGATTCCTAATAAATTCGCGTGATCGAACATCAGCTTGTCTTATGGGTTCTGGAATGCGATATCGACAGCATTTTAACACCATGCTAATAGCAGTCTCAAGACTTATCCGGTGTCCAACCGAAATATATATTGGATTGGTTGTACTTTCCAAGCTTCGGACGGCCTACAGAGCAATATGTTAAGTCAATGAACAGTTTTGACGAAGCAATGACTTGAGGTGGTACTCACCGCTCCCCAAACCATTCCCGAGTCGCCTTGAAGGATATGCGAGTTCCCTCCTTTTCTTAACGCTTCTTTAACCACACTTTTCACGTAACTCATGGTCATCCTCTCACCATCATCGATGTGTAAAAAATTCTTGCCAACGCCAATTGTAGGAACATTCGCCAAAACTCCTAAATGACTAGCCAATCCAAATCTTCTTGGATGCAAAGTACCATTACCATCAACCAATATTATATGAGGAAATATCATAGGATTTGCCTGTCGAATGGTATTAAGCAACTCGAGTAAAGGCTGAACTTCGCGAAATGCCAGAAATCCAGCGATATATGGAAGTTTCAATTTAACCATCTTGAAATCTTCGTAAATTACCTAGTCAAGATTATAAATTACCTTGAAAAATTGGAATTCCCATAAACCAACGGAAATAAACCTACTTCTAGACTCGGATATTTCAAAATCACCAAAGATGCCACAGCATCCTGTTCATTATTTTCAACAAAACTGACATCCACACCACCGATATAGTGTAATCCCTCAAATTCCACCTTTTCCCCTTTATCATCTAGAATAATCTTCTTGAAATCTAGATCGTCAACTTCGATTAGTCTCGATTTCAACTCTGATTGCTCTCTTGCCCAAATGTCCCTTTGGGCTGGAGAAGGATTGTCATCGTATACTGTCGGTACACTCATCTGGCGGAACGACCTACAGATAAATAGATGTCGATCATGAAATTGCTTTTAAGATATTGTTCAAAGCCAAGTACAGGCAGGAGAATGAAAAATCTTTATCGACTCTCTTTTTTAAGTTTTGTTAAAATAAAATTTTCAGGTGAACAAAATAAAAAAACAAATACTGGTTTACTTCTAGTGATTGATTGTGCTGGGGACATTTAAATTCTTTAAATAAAGTCAACATTAATTATCTACTTCTTTAACTTTTTTATTAAACCTTCAAAGAAACTTCTTTTACATTGAATCTAACTTCAAAGTTTAGGATTCGCCTAATGAATCAAGACCTAACTTCTTCATTTAAGACAGATAGTGTCTAATGCGCCGTGGTTTTAAATGCAGGATTTGGTTTTTTGTTTTCTTTGAAACATAAACACACATCGTTACGAAATTGCATTCCATAAAAATGTTAAATTATTAATAATTAAATGTATAAATTAAAAAAAAATATATAAATATAAATTTTTATTATTTATTATTATTATTATTATTATTACTTATAACCTGATTTTTTTTAAAAAAACTATATATACAGTAGTATACATCATAATTGTTAAATTGAATTGGGATTTTAATCTTTAGAAACAAAAAAAAAAGTCATGATTAATTTACTTTTTATAAAAAAAATTAAAGACTATACCAGTATATACTTAAATTTAAATTAATCTAAAATATAATTAGAATATCCAAAAAATGGTTTTTTTAAAATTAAATTAAATTAAATTATAATTGCTATAAAAAATAATAACCATTATAACTATCATTCATAAATCAATTTACATTTTTCATGTATTTTTGAATTTATCCAATACATCAATTTTAAAATAATAAGTAATTATTTGAATTTTGAATTCTACTAGTAATACTTGATACAATAAATTAGATAAGTTTTATGTTAAAACTCAATAATATCTTGATGATTTGATTAAAATGTACTGTATTTACAGTATAATAGTATACTGTATAATGTAAGAAAAAATTTGGTTATCGATTAAAAAAAAAAAATAATAATATTTAATGATAAAAATACACATAGTGTATGTATTTGATAATTTAAATTATGATTATTCATTATTTCGATATTTCGATATTAAAAACTAAGGTGTGCATTTTTTAAAAAAAAATTGTTTATCTGTGTGTACATTAATGCATTGTGTATTATTAAGCATCTGATGTGGTAATGTCACGTACTGTACGTATTTAGTTTTTTGCATTCAAAATTTCAATTGTATTGTATCAATCATTCAAATTTTTAGGTAATATTCTAGGTTTCAATTGACCTACAAAAGAAAGGACCCTTAAATTAATTAGATTAGAAAAATTTTTTCCGATCACTTGATCACCAGATACCGCAATAACATAGATATAACGGTTAAGTTAATTATAAATGAAACATTTTTAATTTTGATAATCCTAATATACACAATTAGTTTCCTTTTTTTTTCGCAATTCTGTAATTCTGTGACTCTATATGCACCTCCTTATTGTCGTGCAAAAGACTAGTGTCAAGGTTGTGTGCGTTTATTTTTCAATCCATGTTCAAAATAAAGTAAATAGATAATTTAATAGTTCTTGGGTTTAATTACGTGTACTTTTAAATTACCTTTTAAAAAATAAGTATGGATTCTAACGTAGAAATTTCGACCGGGACTAAAAATTCAATCGCGTCCGACCTAACGAAAATTGCATCGGTTACTTCTCATCTAGTGAAAAATCCCGGTAGACTCACAACTATTCCCGAACATGGATGATTTTTTTGCCATAGGAATATTAGCAACAATTCTTAACCTAATCCATTTGGAATCAACTTTAACCCTGATACTATAGAATTACGTCAACGATTAACGTTAAAAAAATAAGATGTTTAGACATTATAATTGAGGAGAGCTAATTGCATATTTATCGGAAACCCTTAAATTAAGAAAGTTTATCTTCCATATGAGCCACGCGAATATTAAAAAAACCAACATATAAAAGCTGCATTCGTGAGTTTAGGTTTCGAATTGAGAATACGATTCGTGTATAAAATATTATCATTATTCAATTATAATCCTATTCTCCAATACAAACCAAACATTTCTCAAAGAAGAGACAATTTGTCAACATGGGGAAAGTGAATTCAAAGCCTTGCAATAATACTCTTGACGTCCCCAAAATGTACGCTTCCGCAAAGACGCTTACTCCCAGATCCTCAACAAGCGATCTTTCCTATATGTCAGATTGCTCTTCAAGTTGTGACCTTCCGGTTGGGGCCGCCAGATTGTATTGTTTAGATGACGTGTCAAAATATAATGAATGTGATAGACATCATATACGACATTTTCTGACGAGAGATATTTGGGAAAGTAATTTCAGTTCACCGATAGAGGATATGTTGACACGTGGTAGAACGAGGATTCTCGACGTGGGGTAAATAAAGATCATTATATTTCCTTTACAAGTCACGAACGAGTCATAACTCTCTTTTCTTTTTTTATTCTTCTTAATAGATGTAGCTCGGGGACATGGGTTCTCGAAATGGCATCAACTTATCAAGATTCGAAATTCTACGGTGTTGAAGTATCACCTTTATTTCCCACTTTAATAAAACCAAGAAATGTCAAGTTTGCGGTGGCTAATGTAGTAGAAGGTTTACCCTTCAGTGACAATATGTTCGATTTCGTTCACATGGGATTCATGGGATTGTCGCTTATTGAATCCAGTTGGGAACGCGTAATTGAAGAACTTGTGAGAGTGACGAAACCTGGTGGATGGGTTGAAATATGCGATTCTGATTATAACTGGATAAATGCTGGTCCAAGGACCAAAAGACTTTATTCTAAAGGTATCGCATATTACTAACAGTATCCTGTATTTATTAGGTGTACCATAACGTTAATTATTCCTTTACAAATATTCAAAGTCTCCAAAGAATTGTTCGCCAGTCACGGGGTAAAAATGGAATTAAGTTTAACGGTAAAATGTTTGCTCCTAAATAATTATCTCCTTACGAATTTCCATCAAGAAGAAAAATACATTCCGTTAG